GCTGGGGGCCAGGGGGAGGGGAGAGGAGGGGGGCTGGGGGCCAGGGGGAGGTGGGGCAGAGCATCTACGCACATCTCCAGGACCAGCACGTAGCTGGTGGGGGTCTCGAAGGTGTCCAGGAGGCCCACCAGCAGCGGGTGCTGGAGGTTCTGCAGGATCCCAAGCTCGTGGGTGACCTGGTCGCGCTTCATCAGCTTCTTGTTCACAAACTTAGTGGCCACGGCTCGTTTGGTGCCTTTCTGATCACATTTCTTCACGACGGAGAATCTGCCCCTGGAAAGCAGGTGGTGAAGATCACTCTCAGAGTGCGCTGAGTGGGTCATGGACAAAAGACCCCATTAACCCAGGTGGACCGGACGCATGCGGCCTTCTGAGCCGTGGCCCTGCTCTCCCTGCCACAGCAGAGGGGCTGCGGCCGTATGACAGCCCGAAGGGAGCTGTCCGCGCCTGCAACTATGTCTCCCCCTCCTGGGACAGATGGAGGCAGCTGTGTGACTTCTCCACTCTGACCTCTGTCAGCAGAGACCTCAGGACGGCCCAGGCAGCTCCCACCTCCGCTCTCATGGAGACCGCTCCGCACCATGTGAAGATGCGTGGCACGGCCTACCCAGCGGCTCCTGTCACCCCACGCCCCCCACTTCGGACAGTAGTGTCTCCTGCCTCACCAGGTCTGTTCTCCCGTTGCAGGATGTGTGTGTGGGGCTGGTAACTCACTCATCTCTAGTCTGTGGTCTCTGGGGCTGCACCCAGTGAGCCACCCTGGGGAAGCCTCAGATGCACCCTGGCTGGATTCAGGTAACAGGGCCTTGGGCCCTCAAGTCTGAGCCTGCTGCCCTCATGGGATGAGATTCGGGGCTGGGAATGTGAGGGACAGATATAACTCTATGGCCAGGGGCAGGTTGGGGAGGGTGGGCCGTGGGCATGCTATTTGGGGCTCCTCCTCCCACAGACCATACCATGCCAAGCTTAGTTGCTTCAGTTGTATCTGACCCATGGACTGCAGCCCGCTAGGCTCCTCTGTCCATGGGATTCTCCAGGCAAGAATACTGGAGCAGGTTGCCATTTTTTTCTCCAGGGGATCTTCCCGACCCAGGGATCGAACCCACGTCTCTCACGTCTCCTGCATCGGCAGGCTGGTTCTGTACCACTAGTGCCATCGGGACGCCCCCTCCCACAGACAGGTGGAGTCTATGCTCCTCCCTTGAATCTGGGCTGGCAGGCGGCTTGCTCCGTCCACAGACTATGGAGAAAGTGCTGCTGCTGGGCCCCAAGAGGCTGCGGCTCCTGCTTCTGCGCTCCTGGGATGCTCTGCCATCATACCAGGAAGCCTGGGGTGGACGGCTATGAGCAGAGCGGCCGGCTGACCGAGCCCAGGAGGGGCCAAGGGAGTAACTGCCTTGTCAGGGGTACGTGGCACGAAGTGATAACATCGCTGCTCCGGACAGCAGGGCTAAGCCTCGTGTGGCAACAGAGGACTGACGGGCGTAACAGACGACTGACCGACACATCAGGCTGATCCACCCAGGCGGCGCAAGGATCCCTGGAGCTGGCCACTCCAGGGATACACCCAGGAAAGGCCCCTGGAGTGTACCCTTGGCCGCTGCGGGGCTTCCCGGGAAGCTTTTAAACAGGGACAAGCTGGGCGGTCATGCTTCCGACCCCCTTCCTGCCACATGACGTCCTGCCAGCCTGAGCCCTGGCTGCCATCTGCAGACAAACACCCCTCTTTGGGTCGAAGCCCCCTCTTGGTTCGTGCTATAAATCTCTAGGCACCGCAGAGACCTGAAGGGCAGCTTCAGCCTCCCTCAACGGGATTCCACGAACTACGTACCACCAGAAAGGGTCTGTGACTTTCCCCCGGATCCCCCTGAGGATGGGGCGTAGCCAGAGCTGCCCTGGACGCAGAGCCGGAGCGACTCCATCACGTCACTGGACGGCTCATGGTATATAGGCTTAACTCTCGCTGGGCGCCTGCACTGGACCTGTTCTCTTACTTCCTCAGTGCTTAATATCGAAAGGCAGCTACAGTTACACTCCAGATGCAAAATGCCTAACTTCCAGCAGCTGGCAGAATGTGCCAACCTCCTCCGTGTGCCCCTGCTGTCTCTCGCTTCGCTGGCTTGGGAGGGGCCCCAGGTGTACCTGCCGAGCTCGGCCACCTCGCTGTAGAAGCAGTCAAAGTTGTCCTTCCAGGTCACCACGATGCCGTCACTCCCTGGACCTGCAAGACAGGAGCATCCCTGAGTCTGCTGAGCGGGACGCCTCTCAGGTGGAGACTGGAGCCCTGCGTTCACTGCGGCGGCCGGAGGGGCTGCTAAGGGTCTGAACGGAGGCTCGAGAGAATGGAGACAGGCCAGAAGGATAAGGTCCACATTGCGTGTATGCTGGGACTCAGTTTGAGACAGAGACGGATTTAGTGATGGAAATAAAGGCACGCTTGCTTTTTCATGATCTTTCCACTCGCATTTCCAAAAGCCTAATGAATAGTCTTCTGTCTCTCAAACTCCCTTGCTTCACTAGTGACTTACTAAAAAAAAAAAAAAAAAAATCATCTGTATAATCTCTGTGACACCTCTTAAAAATCAGAACACTGGTTATTCCCTATGGTCAAATTCAAGGTTTTTTTCCCTTTCTTTCTTATGCTGTGAACCCAAGAGGAGAACCCCTCCTTTCTCTGACTTGAGGTTAAAATACATGGGATTAAGATACAGGGGATAAAAGTTCTAAGACGATTCTATGTACTATCTACACATAGAGCACTCCTGGACTCAATTCACCTTGGAGCTGTTCTATTTATTCTTAGTTTTTAAAAAATTTATTTAATTCTTTACTTTTCACTCCTGGAAGCGGCTTCCTATAGCTGGTGTGGCTGGAGGACCCAAGAGAAACCTCAGCGGCCCTGCATCACACGGCAGCCTCCTGTGAAACGGGAGCTGGGAATCGGGTGGTATGTGGTTGCTCACTAAGCATCTACATACATGAAATGCAACAAAAATTCTAAAAGGCCTAAGATATAGATTCTGCCTCCAGCAGTTCAGAGTTGAGCAGAGGAGCGATATCAGGCCTTTCTGGGAGTGCGTTAGTCCCATCAGGGTCGCCTTGCACTCCACGGCTGGGAGGACCCACCCTCTGGCAGGACTGTAGGGTCTAGGATGCACACAGAGCCTGCACAAGACTCACCCACACTCCCCTCTTTCCTTTCTTTTCCTTCTACATGAGACCAACTCAGAAGAGGTCCTCTTAGCATCAAAGCACCAACTGAACACTTGGACAGGGAAGAAGTTGGAGACCAGAGTGTGTTTTGAGTTCTAAGCGAACAGAATGCCTTGCTTCCAGCTGGTGGCTAGCATCAGAGGCTCATGAGCTCAGCGGCCGTGGGCAGAAGCCCTTGCTGGGCACCACCCCTGCCCCCGGTCACCCTCCCAGGCATCCCAGAGGCTGGCTGGCTCCCTGCAGCCCCAGGGTGACTCGCCATGGCTCTCAGGACGTGTCGGCGGTGTGGGGGAGCTCGGGGCACAGCTCACCTAGAACCCTCAGGCTGGCTGAAGAAGAGGCTGACCCCATGTCGTTCACCGCGATGCACGTGTAGATGCCATCGTCCTCGGTGGTCACACCCACGATCTTCAGAGCAGCCTCTCCCAAGTCGCTGCAGCAGGGCAGGGCCCAGTGAGATGCTGCCCAGGCCCAGAGCTCCACAGAAAACCTGGGTCCACAGGATAAACTTGAGTGTCCCCAAATGCTCCCCAGACCTACGCTCTGAAAGACCAGAAGACAAAGAACAGGACTCACCGTCATATATGTAGTTGGGATTGAGAAGCTGAAATGGAAAAACCACACGGTGATTAACCAGATACACGAGCTATTTTGAGATATGTTGCTTTCATTCCAGGGTTACAGTTATTTTTGAAAGATAAGAGGAAACACGATATGGCTTGCCTGGGTATCAATTGAAATTGACCACACTCCCACTGCCTTTGAATGCACTGGGAAGCTTCGTGTCACCCAAATGTAGTTTTTTCTTCCTACTCACGAACACAAAAAACTCAAGAGATGCCCCCTCTTCCCATCCTGTGGGCTGAGTTCAGTGGGTCCCTGGACCCCCTCCTTCTGCAGAATGGCCAGAGCTCTGAGCCGGGGGCTTTGAATTCCTCTCAGGAGATACTGCCTTGTTTTCCAGGCAAAACCCACACAGGTTTAAGGCAATCTGATTCCAGGAGTCATGTGGGCTGGAGCACCCGCCAAGGGAATTCACTGCAGCCAGTGAGCACCGGACTGGGCCAGAGCTGCCCTGAGCTCTGTCTGCTTCTGAGGATCCAGAATCTGTCTCCCTGGCAGCTCATGTGGTAAAGAACCTGCTGCAATGCGGGAGACTGGGTTCCATCTCTGGGCTGGGAAGATTCCCTGGAGGAGGACGCAGCAACCCACTGCAGTATTTCTCCCTGGAGAATCCCGTGGACAGAGGGGCCTGGCGGGCTCCAGTGCACGTGGTCGCAGAGAGTCAGACGTGACCGAGGGACTCACACTTCACTGGGAACAGAGCAGCGTTCCTCCTGAGCCACGCATACGCCCACTGAGGGCCATGCACACCCACGTACCTGGCTCCTCAGAACACCGAAGCGTACCTGTGCCTCTCTGTCCCCATGAGCCCCCTCCAAAGCCCCTCGGGTCTGCTCACAGGGTGGAGGGAGGTGGTTCACTGCTGGGCAAGGCAGGGCACCAGGTCTGTGACCCCTCCTGGGCCGGGGCCAGCCCCTATGGCTTCCTGAGGTGCACAGGCTCCTGACGACGCCATGCTCACCTTCACAGATACCTTGTTGCTCAGTCCTTCCCGAGACTTCCGGTAACCGTTCTCTAACTTGCCTTCCCGTTTGCCGTCTTTATCTTTTTTCTCAGATTTTTTCCTTAAGCGGAGTGCTGTGTGCCAAGATGTTGACTTCCTAGGAGGAGAACGACATGTCGTTAGTATCATGCCTTCCTGGCGTTCAGCAAATGACTCCTGGAAGCATCAGAGAAGCTCGCTGAGAAGCGTCTTATGTGGACACAGGATGACTGAGATTCCTTTAGCAGCAGTGATCTCTGCTAAAGAAAACTTTTCTGCGATTTCCACAGATTAAGACCGACAGCTTCCTAAACCAACTTTTAAGTATTAAACTATAAAGATGTCTGTGATGGTTAATTTTATGCATCAACTTGACTGAACCTAAATATTTGGTCAAACATTAATCTGGGTGTTTCTGGATGAGATTAAAATTGTAATTGGTTGACTGAAGTCATCTGCCCTCCGTGGTGTGGTGGGCCTCGCATCTTACTCAGCTGAAGGCCTGAGTCTGACGAAAAAAGCCCGCCTCCCTGAGCAAGAAGGAAATCCCCAGCATTCTGCCCGCAGCACTGGTTTTCCGCTGGCCCCAGTGCAGATCTGAACTCACCAGTATCCGTAAGTCCATTTCCTTATGTTCGTAATAACCACTCCCCAACCACGCACACCCCTACTGTAACTATTTCTCTGGAGAACCCGAAAACACTGCCTGGGAATATTCTTGGGAAAACCAAGTATAAAATAGGATTCTTTAACAGTGTAAGAGAATAAAATATTCCTGTGCATCAAGGAGAAACAGGGCAAGGGACTCTCATGGGAGATGAGCTCTTTGTAGGCTGAACTCAAGCCTGGATGTCTCATGGGGTGCTGGCGCCAAGCCTAGAGGTTTGGATGCAGAGCTGGAATGCCAGCCAGGCTGGGCTGCAAACCCGGCCGGGGTGCAGCCATGACTGGAGGGGAAGGTGACCACCAGCGATGCGAGTCTGGTCTTTTGGACTGAAGTCTTTGGAGGCTTACAAATTGCAGTTCTGTAAAGCTTCCACGCCCAGAAACTACGTGGCTGGCCTCTCCCGTCGTCAGAGAGACTCAGGAAAGGGCAGAGTCGGAAACCAGCAGCTGAATTCAGGCTTCTTTACAATAACGTTTAATGCAGCAAATCTGGATTCAAGTTTCCTGACTGAAGTAATCGAGCACATGTAAGGCTTGATGGTAACAGCATCCTGTGATCTTTAGTTGCAGCTACAGGACGAGGTTCTTCACTGATGCACCCCCAGCACACCCAGTATGTGTTAGGGGGCTGTGGAAAGTCCTCACCCCCCACCCAAGACCTCTGGGAACTAAAATACCATCGTGCTCTATCTAGTGGCTTAAAAAAGCCATGTGTGTGTGTGTGAAAGCAGGTTATTAAAAGAAACCATCAGAATAAGGATATCAAACCAGTCCATCCTAAAGGAAATCGACCCTGAATATTCATTGGAAGGACTGATGCTGAAGCTGAAGCAATACTCTGGCCACCTGATGCGAAGAGCCGACTCACTGGAAAAGACCCTGATGCTGGGAAAGATTGAGGGCAGGAGGAGAAGGGGATGACAGAGGATGAGATGGTTGCATGGCATCACTGACTCAATGGACCTGAGTTTGAGCAAGCTCGGGGGAGATGGTGATGGACAGGGAAGCCTGGCATGCTGCAGTCCGTGGGGTCGCAAAGAGTCGGACACGACTGAGTGACCGAACACCACCATCGCCATCACCACCACCAGCGTTAAGTCTGAGAGATGCACGCCACCCCAACCATCACTATGTGGCTCCACACAGCGCTTAGACCTGAACGTGCTCCGCAGAGCACAGCGCTGCTTTCTCTCAATGGGCTTCACCCTCCCAGGGCCCCCGAGGCCGCTTCCGCGCTCAGCCCTGCCCTCACCCCCACTCACTTGAGAGTCCCGTCAGGGTTCTCCATGATGACGGCGCTGGTGTGCCCCAGGACGAAGCCCGGAATCCAGCCCTCGGCTGCGGGGCACTGGTCAGTGGCGGCTCGGAACACCAGAAACATGTTCTGTTGATTGCTGGCCAGAATTTGAACGACCTCTCCTTGATAGACGTTTATCTCATCCTCCTTCACTGCCGTGTAGTCGTGTGTCACCAACATGGTGGAGATGCTGCTACTGCTGCTGCTTTCACTCTGGAGGGGGGGAGACGGACAGAAAGGGGGTCTGAGGACGCCAGCGGGCTCGTCCACGTGCTGACACTCAAGTAACTGACAATCAAGATTTCTCTAGAAGCAATTTAAGATAATCTAAAATGACAAGAAGGCCACAGTGATGGCGAAACACTTTACTTTTGGAAGCTTGATTATTTCAGGTCCATCTTCCTTACACCATCAAGGGTCAGCTTATCCTCCTGTTAACGCCATGCTGGGTTCTGTCTGTGTCACTGTGACCATCATGCTCGTTTTAAAAAGCATTAAATTAAGAAGCTGCAAGGAGTAAGCTCTTCAGCTCACTGACAAAGCAGGTCATAGCAAAGCCTCCAAAACTCCCAGATGAAATGTTGAGAGCGTGTTCCAGAATTGTGCCAAGCTGCTCGCATCCTTAGTCATTTCCACCTTTTTCCTTCCTAAAAGAAGAACGCGGGAAAGCTGAAGAGTAAGCCAACCACTGCTCTGCTCTCACGGAGAGTTACTCTGCCTCCTTTATGCTTCCCATGGTGGGTGGCCTGATGAGCTCACATGATTCCTGGGTCCTGAAGACGTGCCGCTGTCCTGGGTACGTTCAGCATCGCAGAGCAGCAGTGGACACCGCTGGCCCCGTAGCTCAGGTTTCAGGGACATCCCTGGCGTGCAAAAGTCTATCTTCCCCATATCTTGGCATCCCATTGGGACCCAAACTCTTCGGGGCACTATTGTGCCTTTAGTATCCATCACACTGACTGACATGCAGCAGGCACCCAATAAGGGTTCAGTAACTCAGTCAATGAGGTGAGACTGCAAAAGTTAAACAAAGATCATTTCTCAAGGCCGTCTGCTCAGGCATACAAGCTGGAGTGGTGTTTGCCTCAGAGTAGCAGAAACACAAAAGGAATTTGTCCCAAGCTGTCATTTACCAGGTGACCCTTGTTCCACGGGAGGAGGAGGAAGCTGAGACCTCCAGACCCTCGTCCAATGCCTTCTATCAACAGCTGGGACGTGGAGAAGGTGTCAGGAGCTACACTAGTGTGTTCTCAGAGGCTCCCACCAAGGATGCTGTCTGGATGGTCATGGCTTCTCAGGACTCCGATGACGCTTCCCTCCGCTGGACTCTTGGATGCCTGGGGCAGGTCCTGGGTCGGTGTAGACGCGACGCTCAGAAACCTTGCCACCTGCCTGTCAGCTCTGGGCTACTGAGCTGCTATGAGGACACATTGGAGCGGACGGCTGACCACTGTCAAGGAGCCTGTGTGCTGGGAACTCCAGGGGCCAGGGCTCTGGGCCCGCAGCAGATGGTGAACTTAAACACAACAGGGTGGCCAGGGGCTCGGTCCCGTCACGGCTGAGGAGTCCAGTACCTGTTCCCGTTCCTCTGGGATGCCCACGCTGTCCACGTTGGGCTTTGGCCTCTGCACACTCCTTTATGCAAATTTATCCCGTCAGCATGACTTACATAGCAGCACCCCATAGTTTTGAGACTACGAAGCCACATTTGCCAGAAAACATGAACAAAAACCAACTTCCATGGCGTAGCCATGTTTGGTCATGTAGGTACCAGCCTTTGTCTCATAATTTGAGCATTCTACCACAATCATAATAGCTCTGAGTAATTTCTGAAAACCTCCTATGCACCAGCTTAAGTATTAGGCATTTGAAAATCTATCTCAGCTGATGCTGTCAGGCACCATCCTCGCCCTCTGAAGAGTGGAGTTTAGAAATTTACGGGGGGCCACCCGGTCACCAGGAGGAAGGCAGGGCTTGTTCTTTCATTGCTGCCTGGGGGGGAGGGGGTGGGCGCAGGGAGGTCGTGCATCTGTGCCTGGGCGCTGGCACAGTCACTGTCTGGGTTGACACATCCCCCACTCAGGCTCTCATCAGAACTTTCCAGAAGGTGCACATTAAAGGCAGAAGAGGGACCTAGGCGGGGGGTTAGGCACAGCTGCTGGGCTGTGACCACAGACAGCATCACGGAAGCAGAGGAGGAGGGAGGAAGCTGCTGCTGACCTGCCAGGGGGCTGGGATCGCCAGAGTGGGTGGGCAAGGACTGGGTGGGGGCGCTTCTTAATTGGGATGCTTAATAAGAGCCCTCGAGGAGACTTTTGAATGCCCGTGCTAAGCCTTTAGTGGTCTTCTTACGCCTCCAGGGCATTTCTGTAAGGTGCTTGGACTCGCTTAAAACACTGGCAATTTCCCTTTCCAGCTAACTGAGCACATTAGAAACAGCGAGAGGCAGAAATAAGAGGCACCTTTTGCAACCTAAACCCTGCCAGCACATGTGCTGGGCTGGGATCGAGCATCCTGGGGGGACTGGGGGTGGGGGCACTAACCGTGGGCGCTTACAGACACACAGACCCCAGCCCAGGCTCCTGCACTGGGGCGGGGGAGGCCGTTCCTTCTGAAACAGCCCTCCTCAGGTGCTTAGGGGGCAAAGCGTCCAGGTCAGGATGGGCTCAAGGGCTGCTCCCTGGCTGATCCCCAGGGGTCTCAGAGGCGAGGCGGTGCCCGCACCGAGCCTTCATCTAGGCGCCGCATCACTGGGCCTCTGCGTCTTTGCCTCCAGCTGACGTCGGGCTCAGACGCCCACCTGCACACGGAGCATTTCAGAACTAACAGGCGATGGGGGGCCAGGCCACTCTGCAGGACATGGTCAGGTACCACGACCAGGACAGTGGTGATGGCCACAGCAGAGGATGCCTGCCCTGACCACTTCTTTTTGAGAGTGAGGCTGAAAGACTAATAAACGTACCAAGAACCATTTCTCGATTTCTTCCTCAATTACACAGAAAGACTGACGTGAACAAAATACATGAGGAAAAACAGGAGGAGAGAACAAGGCCAAGTCAACCCAAACAAGGCATTAATGAAAAGTCCAGAGGAAAAAGAGAAACATGCAAAAGCCAGATTGCATTCTTTTTTTTTTTTTTTGATAAAGAGAGACAACAGACCCTTTTGGGGAAATGTATTTAAAAATTTATAAAAGGATCAAACATACACTCATGAGAACAGTTCTATTCCCTCACCGCATGCTTTTAGGGAGGTGTTACGAATCGGATTCATCAGCCTTGTAGGAAACAGTCGGGGAGGACAGTGAGGAAGCCACAGGATGGGAGGGGGAAGACCCACCACCGCAACCCCGGGGCTGAGAACGAGGACAGTGACCGGCGAGGCCCCGCAGCGCCCCCTGCTGGACAGATCCTGGCGCCCCCCACTCCAGCCTGCCTGCGCCTCCGCTCCCAGCCGCCGGCCAGAGCCCAGCATCAAGAGGCCCTTAAAGCAGTCTCTTTTCTCGTGAATCGTGTGCAGCTGTTTTTGTTTTTGGGGGTGTGTGGCGGGGAAGGGCAAATATTTCCACCGGAGAGATTCCTTCCCCTCTTTGTGCAAGCTGCGTTTGCTTTGAGCTGCTCTTGGACATTTCTTGAGTTTTTTTTGTTTGTTTTTTTTTCCAGCAGATGAGTCAAAAACGCTGCAAAGATTAATTTAAGGCATAAAAGGGCACAACCAAGCGATGAGCAGAAAGCTTAAAGACGGTATACAGGTTTCAGTTTACGCAGGAGGTAGACGGCGGGACACGGACCCCTCTCTAAAAAAACAAAAGTGCGAGGAAAGCAAGGGCGGCGAGAGAGAGAGGAGGTTCCAAGATACTCGGCTGGTCGGAAGATGTGAAAAGCTCAGAGATGCTGCATTCATTCGGAAGGTTAATGGTCTGCGTTCCCCGTTGTTAGCGGACACAAAGCAAGGAGCGAGTTAGTAGAGACCCGGGGCGCGCCGTCCGCCGGGAGCAGGTTAGCGGGCGTCCCCCGCCGAGTCCGCGGCGCGGGAGGCCGAGGAGGAGCCGGTGGAGCCCGGAGTTAGTACGAGGACAGCGGCGGCCAGGCAGGAGGTTTAGAAGAAGAGCCGCGGGACAGAGGCGGGCGCAGGCGGCCGGGCGCTCTTACCCCGTTGCTCTGGGTGGACTGCACGGACTGCTCGCTGGCCGAGGAGCACGTGCTCATGCGGTCCGCGTCCTTGCCGGGGGCCGCGTGGCGCCGCGCCTGCCGCTGCAGGGAGTCGCTGTCCCCCGGGAAGGTGAAGGAGCCGGGCCGGCTGGCGGGGGAGGCGGGCACGGAGCTCCAGAAGGAGCCCCCCTTCTGCAGGGGGCTGCTGGGGGGCAAGGGCTCCTTGCCGAACGGAGAGGGGGACGCGGCGGCGGCGGCGGCCAGAGGCGAGTGCAGGGGCGAGGGGGCCCCGGGCCTGGCCTTGCCCAGCGGCAGGGGGCCCGGGCCGCTCCGCGGCGCCTCCTTGGCGGCTCCGTCCTGTGGCGGCGCGCCCCCAGACGACTTCCGGGGGCTCTCCAGCACCTTCATCTTGGGGATCGGCTCGGCGTCTCGCTCGGGACCGTCGGGCTCGCTGCCGGGAGGCGCCCTGCCGGGCGGGCCTGTGCCAGCCTCCGGGGCGGGGCTGCGGCTGGGAGGAGGCGGTGGCGGGCCCGGGGTGCACGTACCTGACATCTTGTCTGCCTCTGCCTGGCTCGAGGCTGCAGAGGAGACCAGCACGGGGGAGTGGTGTCTGACGGGCTGGGGGATCCGGGAGGGTCTGCTTCTGCTGGAGCTGCCGCTGCCGCCGCCGCCGGGGCCACCCCCGCCGCCGCCGTGGTTGCTGCCGCCCCCAACGCTGGGGGCCCCGCTGCTGCCCCCGCTGCCGCCGCCGCCGCCGCCGCTGCCCCCGCTGTGGTTCCTCTGATATTCGATGGGTGATGTCAAGGCTGCAAGGCACAAGAGAGATTCGGTTAGGGCACCGAGGGAGGGGGCCGTCACAGGGGCGAAGGGGGCACGATTGCCCCAGGCTCACGTCACAGGGGGTGGGGTGGGGGTGGGGAGGGGTGTCCACCATCGCCCAGTCACCTGGATCCGGGGACACCCACCCATCCGCCAGGCAGCGGGCTGGCTCCACCCACCAGGGAAGGAAAAAGAAAAGGTCTTCGATTTAACTGTGCTTGTGTGCTGAGTCGCTCGGTCCTGTCCTACTCTTTGTGACCCCACGGACTGCAGCCTGCCAGGCTCCTCTGTCCGTGGGATTCTCCGGGCAAGAATACTGTTAAGTATGAATGAGTTAAACTGGCTCTATCAAGGGCAGTCTGCAGGTCCCAGGGAGGACAGGTGAGGAGCAGGCTGGAGGAGAGGTTTCCTGCCCAGGAGCAGCCAGCACAGCCTACACATGTCCACCTCCGGGGAAAAGGAGAAGAATCAGCCCTGAGCATCCCTGCAAACCACCAGGGTCCCAGGGGGGCCCAGGGCTGCTGGGGAGGCTCAGCTGGGACTCCACAGGTACCAGCTGGTTCCCACAGGGGACAGTTGAGTCCAGCTGCCGCGAAGCAGAGAGCAGTGAGGCAGAGAGGAACCTGGCTGGGGGTTACCACCCGCGGAGGCGGTGTTAGGGACCACCTCAGGGAAGGTGCTCCACAAACCCTGGGGGATTGTGAAGCTGTTCCATCTCTGGGCTTAGTGGGTTAGCTATGTCATCCTGTGGGAAGATGCAGGCAAACACTAACAAGTCCTTGAGTGGGGCATGGCAGCCCACTCCAGTATCCTTGCCTGGAGAATCCCATGGACAGAGGTGACTGACAGGCTAGTCTGTGGGGTCACAGAATTGGACACACTGAATGCCTAAGCACAGCACAGCAACACAGATCCCTGCAGAGCTAAATAAAGCCTCTGCCAGTCGGACAGTCTAATGTAGCCCCTTCCTGCCTGCGAGACGTCGGGCAGGTGTGAGGGAGTATCCTGGAGCCAAACGACCGCGTGGGCCGCAGCGCCGCGTGGGCCGCAGCCCCGCGTAGGACTAAGGGGAGGGAGAGGTGGGCCAGCAGGGCTGGAGCCCCCCCTCCAGCCCCGACATCTGTCCGCCCTTGGGAGCAGCGTCCTCAGCATCTCTGGGCTGAGAGTCCAGGGGTGAACGGCATGGCCCACTCATGCCTGTGATTCGGAAAGCAGCTCAGTTCATTTTAAAGAAGATGGTCTAAGCTTAGAGGTTTCCCAACAGTTACATGTTGCGGACTGGCGTTCAGTGGTCTAAGTTTAGAGGTTTCCCAACAGTTACATGTTGCGGACTGGCGTTCAGTGAAGCTCTCAAAAACAACACATTTAAAGATATCTGCATTCACTCACAGCCACCGGGGGAACTATTCTTCCCATGCATGAGAACCGTCCCCCTAATACCCCTAGCCCCGGCCATCCAGTTGTAACTGCACACACAAGAAACGCTCCATAAACGGCCTAGACAGGACCCTGGAGTTAGCACTTGGCTGATTACCCCTCAGCCAAAAATGCCACGTGACCCTGACCTTTCTCGCAGTGCCTGTGTTCCTGGCTCTGGAATGTCACTCGAGCTGTGGGGCTGGTTTTATGTGACAGAGAGATTACAGTGTCCTGTTGGACCAGGGCGTAGATACAGAACATGGACATGGAGAAAAGGACAAAGATACGACATCAATGCGTATCTAGTTCTCACTGAATTTTTGATGCTCTTCAGTAATCACCGAATTAAAACCAGAGTGGAAGGCAGTGGCCCTAAGGTGAAGCGAGCAGATTTAGGTCAGGGATATAAAAAGTCTAACTGTCTGCAATGTGAGGTCAGCGTGGTCTCTCTCCTTGCAGAGAAGACCTTTCCCTGGGGTGTTGGCACCTCACTATTGTCCTGAGTCGTACTGTATTATTATGGTATTGCTCCTCTATATCACTTGTGTCATAGAAGTGGGAAGGAAAAAAAATGCCTTGGTTTTAACAAGGAGGGCAGTTCTACCATGTGGTAGAACATAAATTTTAAAGTTGCACACAAGAATGTCTCCAACATCTCTGGCCAATTCCGTCTGCTGCCTTAGTCTTTCTCACGCATTCCTCTCCCAGGATGGGCTCTGGGGCACACATGCTGTGGGAGACCGTGGGACAAAATGAACCGGACAGTGGTAAGGGGCTCACAGCCAAGAGCCAGATGGCTGCTGTGTCTCCACTCTGCTACCAACAGCATATGGGACCTGGAGCAAATGACAAACCCACTTTGTGCCTCAGCTTCCCCATCTATAAAATGGGAGTAATATCGGGACTGGCCGCTTCGGGTCATTGGGAAGATGAAAGAAGCACTAGGTGGGTAGTGCTTGGCATAGTGTCTGGTCCACAGTAACTGCTCAGAGAGTCTTGTTGCTACTGTTCGTATGTGACAGGAGAGAGATGAGAAATAAAAACGTGTACTTTTGGAAAGTAACCACACACATTACCATTTAAAAAATTGCGCTGGTTTTCTAAAATCTGGTTGATTTCATGGATCCATGTCTGCCGGACACTTGGACTGGATGAGTGGAGGATGAAGGTCTCTACCACGTCACCCGTCCGCGATGTCAGAGCGAACTTACAGGGATCATTTTCCACGTTTTCCTCCAGGCAAAGGCAGCTCACCTTAAAAAAAAAAAAAAAAAAAAAAAAAGAAAGCATTATTCACAATGGCCAAAAGGCAGAAGCAAACCAAGTGTCCATTAACAGATGGATGGATAATCAAATGTGTCTGTATACACAGTGGACTATTGTAACAGCCTTGAAAAAGGAAGGACATTCTGTCATAGGCTATACCATAGGTGAGCCTGGAGGCCACTGAGCTACATGAAATGAGCCAGGGGGAGAACGCCCAGCACTGAGATGATTCCCTTTGGATGAGGCCCTTAGCGTATTGTTTAATGAGGATGGAGTTCTACATTTATAAGATGAAAAGAGTCCTGGAGATGGATGGTGGTGATGGTTGCATGACAAGTGTGAATGTACTTAACACCAGAGGGCTGGACACTGACAAACGGTTAAGATGGTAAATGTTATGTGTCGGGAAGGTCCCCTGGAGAAGGGAATGGCTACCCACTCCGGTATTCTTGACTGGAGAATTTCATAGGCAGAAGGAACCTGGTGGGTTATAGTCCATGGAGTTACAAAGAGTTGGATATGACTGAGCGACTGTTTTACCACAAAACAAAAAACAAAAAAAAACTAAAGCACATTTATTCCCACTGGTCAAGTGCAAAGTAAAGTTCATCTTGGGTCAAAATTGAAACCACCACTCTTTGGTTGAGCTACCATTTTTACTACCTCGAAAATCATTATCTCGAAGCTTTTTAATGATTCTTTTAACTCTGGTATATGGGGATCACCAGGAATTTAATGAGTAGCTTAAACAATTAACTAGAAATGTTAATCTGCTGGGACCTCAGGTCTCCTCTATCTCACTCTTGGTTTGTACCTTTTACAGGGCTCAGGGCCATCTGCAGTCTTTGTCTTTTTCTTAGTCAGAGACCAAGCCACCCTGGGGCAAAGACCGCCTGGCCTGCCCAGCCCTACAGCCCCCTGCCTGGTTCTGAGGGCAGAGAAGATCCTTGCTAAATGAAGAAGAGAAAAAGGTAAGCTATATCCTCTCCAAATCCATGCCTCTGAGCTTGAATAATTCATGTGGTCCTAGAGAAGGTGGAGCAGAAAAAACCTAACAAAGGTGAGGTCTTCTCGTGGTGGTAAAAATGAATGCTGCAGCTATACGTTCCCCCATCAGCCACTGGGGAACTCAGACAGTAGAGGATGGAGTGAATTTAAAGGGTCTGACATGTATTAGAAAATTCTCTAAATATTTAATAAAGATCAGGATTTGTTGCTGTTCAGTCTCTAAGTCGTGTCTGACTCTGAGATCCCGTGGACGGCAGCACGCCAGGCTTCCCTGTCCATCGCCAACTCCTGGTACTTGCTCAAACTCATATCCATTGAGTCAGTGATGCCATCCAACCATCTCATCCTCTGTCATCCCCTTCTCCTCCTGCCTTCAAACTTCCCCAGCATCAGGATCTTTCCCACTGAGTCAGTTCATCAGGTGGCCAAAGTATTGGAGCTTCAGCTTCAGTCCTTCCAATGAATAGTCAGGGTTGATTTCCTTTAGAATTGACTGGTTTGATCTTGCAGTCCATGGGACTCTCAAGAGTCTTCTCCAGCACCACAGTTTAAAAGCATCAATTCTTTGGCACTCAGCCTTCCTTACGGTCCAACTCTCATACCCATACATGACCACTGGAAAAACCATAGCTTTGACTCTACAAACCTTAGTCGGCAAAATAACGTCTCTGCTTTTTTAATACGCTGTTTAGGTTTGTCGCAACCTTTCTTCCAAGGAGCAGGAAAGATCAGGACACGTCATCATTAAAAAGGACACATTTTTTCAGCGTACCAGGTATACGCATTAGTGCTTGAGAAAATAGGCAAACACGAGTTACCTTGATACTGTTCTTGAACAGGAATCCTGGCATGGAGAAGCCCTTTTTTTTATCCAGCGGCTCGCTGAAAATGACGATCTGCTCAAAGAGGAACACCCGCCTCTCTTTGCAGCGAGGCAGCAGCCCCGTGTCCGGGTCTGTGACCAAGAATGTGTCTTGCAGGAGCAGCTTGCCCTGGGCCACGATCTTACCCTGGATGTGGAAAGGGTGCAGAGGAACAGAAGAAAACACTGCATTCAAAGTTAAGACACAGGAACTTTTGTTTCTTTAGTTTTCCTCCCACAGAATGATGTATTTTTCTGGTATTAATTTATGGAGTGTAGACATTTCTTTTAGTATAATGAGGTCTTAGCTCCAAAGAGAAAAATCATCTAAATAAAATTCTTGCCAGCTCTTGTGTAAACCACTGGCCTCAGTTACAGTCAGAGATGGAAAATGGATGGAAGGGTGTAGTTCGCAATGGAAGCGTGCTTCTCCAGGGGCGGTCCACGGCCGGGCGCCACTAGCATCCTGGGTGGGACCCGCTCACAAATGCACAGGAGCCTCCAGGAGAGCCTGTCTGTGTGTTTTTTGTTTTTTTTTGAGAACCCCCAGCATGTTAAACTAACCCACTCCTCTAGCAAAACAGTAGACAAGAAAAAGAAAAACTCCTGTCTCCTTACTCGACAATCAAACTGAAAGAAAAAAAAAAGGATTCTGGGCTCTGGACATCCTCAGGATGCTAGTAGGCATATGTAATCTGAGGGGTCTGGCAACTCACAGAGAAGTCTGTGACTAAGGGGGAGCCCAGGGACCTGGAGTCAGGCTCCGGGGTCTGACAGATGACAGATGGACGGGCCCCTGCGCGGCGTGCCGGGGAAGGAGGCTCGCTCCTCCATAGCAGAGGGCCCTGGAGACAGAGCAGAGGCCTGCCTGCTCCCGCCTCGAGGTGCTGGGCTTTGAGCAGGGGAAGGTCTCCTCCAAAAGCTAATCAGATGCACCCAGAAAAGCTGAAACATGGTGCCACTCAGGGTGACGGACAGCGAGAGAAGACAGAGAACCAAGCAGAAAGGGTCGGCTTTCTGCAGGTGGTGGTCAAGCATCCCAGGCAGAGCAGTAGGTTTAAGGAGGAGCCACATTACGTCGAAGCCTTGTAGCCTCCCGACGTTCATCATGTCGTTGCAGCGCTTCGGGACGACGCACATGACCTCCACGGCTCTCTGCAGGGCAGGTGGAGCGGGGGAGCAGAGTTAGCCTTCAGTTCTGGGGCCAGGCTGGAGCACTAACCCTCCAATCTACCCCCTTGTTCAGTTCCTCCCCTGCCCGCCTGCGAGTGGACGGACGGCACACCCAGGGCTCGGGAGACCCCCCCTCCCCCGGCCCCCCCCCAGGGACAGGCTGCTTCAGAGACGCACCCAGAGGGGTGTCAGTACCTCTAGTTCTGATGTATCCAGGCTGGCTTTTTTGGAATACTTGAGGAAGTCCTGTAGGAGGAAGACAGACACAAGGGCATGACAAGGGTGATGGTCACACAGCAGTACCCTTTCTGCTGAACCAGGATGCCAGCTACTGGGCCAGTCTCGTTTTTTTCTCCCAGTAACACAAAGATAAGGTAAGATATCCCCAGGCGGACCTCAAGCCACAGGAGGGCAAAAGTCAGACCCAACTGATCTAAGCAGGTCGTGGTTCCTGTGTCACCCCAAGACAGGCGCTCATCTCTCTTTACCTCCAGGTTCTGAGTTTTATGTGTGAAGGTATCTCGCCACCTCCAACAGTCACTTTTATCACGGAAAATGGCTTGACTTTGCCTTCAGGGGTGCTGAGGCATTTGAATCACTCAAGGGCGGTTGCTGAGCCCTCAGAGAGGAACTGGCAGAGCCTAAACGTTTAATCTGAAGCCCCAAGGAGACAGAAAACCTGCAAGGTGGGTTAGAGCCCAAGAGAGTATTCAAGATCCGTGGTGGGGAGAAAAAGCTCACCTTCACAGATGTTTTGTTTCAGAACCTGATGTAAATGAAAAATTGAGAAAACAGTATAAGGTGTCTCCTTCAGTTTTAAAAAACTTATTTGGAAATATTGGAAATCAGAAATGACAAGACTGCTTCTTCTTTTTTTTTTTTACAGAAAAGATGCTCATCAGCTGCCCAGCCCGCCGGCCCCCTCACGAGTCTCGTCCTCCTGCCGAGTGGGCTCGGGCCCCGGCAGAGCCTCACCTTGAGCAGCAGCTGGTACTTCGTGATCCTCTGCACTGGTTTGATCAGCAAGTCCGTGAGCTGCAGCCTGTGGCCCAGGCGCTGCTTTAAGTCCTGGGGTTTTGGAGGAGGAAGAAAAGGATCTTGAGTGCTGTCTTTTAATCAGTTAGTTATTCGTTTTGACATAACATTTTATTGTCCATCTAGAATGAAAACCTTTTCTGTTTTATGAAACCGAAAAACATGCTGAACGATCTAGACATCTGAAGAGACTAGCAAGTACAGAAGGTTGAATGTGATTCATAAGATGTGCTTAATGTTAATCATTTGAAATTTAAACTTAAAAATTATTGGGACTTAAACAATTCTGCCCCCCACATATGATATCACTTATATGTGGAATCTAAAATATGATACAAATGAACTTATTTACAAGACAGAAACAGACTAGTCATAGAAGACAAATCATGACTACCAAAGGGGGAAGGTGGGGAGGGAATGGATAAATTTGGAGCCTGGGACCAGTAGAGACACACCACTATATACAAAATAAATAAGGCTGCTCTGTATAGCACAGGGAACCACACACAATATCCAGCAATAAATCACAATGGAAAAGAATATATGTACATATACAGGTATGTATATATGTACAACTGAATCATCCCCACTGTACACCAGAAACCAATACAACACTGTGAATCAACTACACTGACTACTGCCTTTTAAAAGGCAATTTTCAGTCCCTGTAACTCAGGAACGTTAACTACATGGTAGCAGAGGTAACGAGAAGAGAGGCCGCGCTGCACATAACCCACCAGTGTGGGTTACCCACATGACCCACGGCTCAGAATGGCCATGTTTGAGCCTCCTGAGCTGTTTTTCAAAGCAGCCTTCTATGCTTGCCTACAAAAGCCTTTTTTTTCAGTTGCTTACTTTTATTCATACAAATATTTTATATCTAGGCTAAAAGTTTAGATTGTGAATTATCCTGCATGTGAAAGTGAGCCTTAGTTTGAAATTGATTTTAAAAACCTCTGATTTTGTTAAGGTTACTCATTATTTTTTTAATCATTTTGTTTACTGATTTTTGGGTGTGCTGGCTTTTCTCTAGCTCTGGTGAGCAGGCAGCACTCTCCAGCTGCAGCTCATGGTCTTCTCGTGCCAGCCAATGCGTAGATGTCTTGCTGCGGAGCATGTATCGAGGGCGCCTGGGCTCCAGTAGCTGAGGCTGCCAGCTCCAGAGCACAGACTCAACAGCTGTGGCTCCCAGGCTTAGCTGCTCCTCAGCATGTGGGATCTTCCCGGGCTGGGGATCAAACTGGTGTCTCCCGCGCTGGCAGGCGGATTCTTGACCACTGAGCCACCAGGGAAGCCCCAAGCCCCTGACTTTAGCCGTGACCCCAGTGCTCTGAATGCTAAGGGATGTGATCACAGGTTGAATTTATACTCACTTCTCTGGTTTACAGGAAAGAAATACAAGTTCAGGACTCTTATAACTGAGGCTAATTTCCTGATGATTGCTTAATCTCGTGGGAAACAAATTTTTGGAAATCAGCTGTAACCAACAATTCAGAATTGCTTTGTAACTCAGTCAGTCTTACCTCAAAAAAGGTGTCAATGTATTCTGAGACAATGTGTTCAGACTTTGGTTTATTTTGACAATAAACTATGTACATGTGCAACCTTCTCTCCTAGAAAAGGAAGGCAAACAGATGGGTTAGAACACAGGAAGAAAGTACATAGCATCACTACATTTGGAAAGGAACTTTTCTTTCGAGAAAACCGCATGGTTAGGCTCTTGGGAGCACATTCCAGGTTCCTGATGCTGGCTCCAAAAACAGCCCTTCTTTATCTTTCCCTCAGATACAGCAAACCTCACACTTTACTTGGGAAAACACCAGAGGCGGTGAAAGAACACAGTTCTTAGTATTACACCAAGCATCACTTTCCACCCTTCAAACCCTGCCAGTGGCTCTGGGAAGCCTGGCTTTTTTTTTTAACGAGGTTAGAAAAAGCTCTTTAGTTTTAAATACTGAAGGCAGTCTTAAATACTGAGCCATTATTTCCTGCACTGACCCTCAAAGTGTGCTGTGCACACCCCTGGGGTCCCGGAGGCCTCCTGGGGACCCAACAGGTCAAACTATTTTCAAATAATACTAAGTTGTCACCTATCCTTTTCATGTGCTACCATCTGCAGTGATGTGCAAAATCAGTGGTAGGAGAAACCGCTGGCATTTTAGCAAATATCCCTCACCACTACACATGCCAGCTTCAGCTGAGACTGTCCTTGATGAAGTGACAAAAATTCATTGTATTAAGACTCAACCACGGGCTATACACCTTTCTAACCTTCCAGTGATAAGATGGGGGTCCTGGTGACATGTCTGCCTCGTGTGAGAGCAGGCGCGGCAGCGCCCTCGCGTGACTGAGCCATGAGCTGAACCAGCTGCTTGTTTTTACTTAAAAGCCTCAAGGACTATAATTATTTATGCGTGGGTATCTGCTAAACCCTTTCCTGAACATGGATAAAATAAGCCTGTTGTTTCAAGGCAAACAACCTGCAATGTCTATTAATAATGAAAATTTAAGCTTTCAAGAAAAAAATTAACATTTTGGAGAACGTGGCTCTGCCATCTTGAACTTGACCATGAAACGAAAGTGAAAGTCGCTCAGTCTTTGTGACCCCAGGGACTATACAGTCCATGGAATTCTCCAGGCTAGAATACTGGCGTGGGGAGCCTTTCCCTTCTCCAGGGGATCTTCCCAACCCAGGGATCGAACCCAGGTCTCCCGCATTGTAGGCCGATTCTTTACCAGCTGAGCTACTAGAACTTGACAATACTTAAAAGATTTTTGTGAAGAGATGGGTGGTGATATGAACAAATCTGATTTTTTCTTTTTTTGGCAGCGGGGATATTGTTTATTGAAATAGTTCACCATCTGGAAGATCTATCTCAATCAGTGGGTCAGGATTTTCCAAAAGACCAATGCAGGATGTCATGAGCTGGTGCAGGAGGGAAAGTGTCTTTAACAGCAAGATGGCTCTGTGGCTTTCAGGGCAACAGAAGTGAGGTCACCAATGGGCTTTCAGATTCCATGTTGCAACTAACCTTTAAGAAATTATCTGAAAAGGCTATTAAAATATTCATTCCTTTCTAACCAAATATCTGCGTGAGGATAGATTTTTTTCCCCCGTAAATTTTACCTAAAAAAAATATCACAGTAGGTTCAATACAGAAACAAGATATAAACACGCATCTATCTTCTATTAAGCCAGACATTAAGGAGACGTGCAAAAATACAAAAGCTTTGGTCACTTTGAAAATATAGTAATTTTTCCTAAAAACCAAACCAAAAAAAACCCTTATTCTTAACGTGCTTATTTAATTAATTTGTTTGTCTGTCTTATTGCCACAGCATGTGGCATGTGGGATCTTAGTTAACCAACTAGGGATGGAACCCACACCCCCTGCAGTGGAAGCATGGAGTCTTAACGGCCGGACTGCCAGTAAGTTCCAACATGCTTGCTTTAGATTTACAAATACTTGGTTACTACATTAAACCCGCTGCACATCTAGGTACATCACCATCTGCACCAGACACTTCTTTGCCCAGAGACGTTTCCAAATGTTCCTGCTGCTGGTCTGGCTCTGGTCCCCTTCGGACCATCTTGGCCTGCTTGTGAGCTAAACAGCCAACTTGGGCCAGGTGACAGGGAAAGCAGACCATTCTCATGTAGAAGAGCAGTGGGGATTTGAATTCCAACCAGCTGATACTGTACGGTTTGATTTTAATATAAACATTTCTGTAAACTGCAAGTGAGTTCTCCTTTAATCTGACAAGCCAATTACTAAATATGACAATATAGAAGAGAATATAAATAATGCTTCTGTACTTACATGTTTAACAAAAAGGGATCCTAGTTTTTCCGGATCTTCAAGGCACTTCTCCAACTCTCCTAAAAAAAAGCTGCAGTGAAAGGAGAAATATTAGAACCATCTCCGATTTGACCTTCCAATTTTAGACTGAGGTTTAAATTTTCAAAATAGCCTGTTTTGACATTAGCAATCTGGAAGTGTAAAGTATATGTTTAGACACTACAACGCATACTGAAAAACGTTTTGTTAGGACAGAAAGCAGAAAGAGATACAACTTAAAACAGTTTAAAAGGTTAAGTCAGAGCAAAACACCCCTTGACTGGCAATCTTCCCTTCCTCTTGGATAATCCACATTTCTGTTTCATTTTTTAAAATGACTCAAATAATAAAATCTCATCTGAATATGGGGTAAAAAAAAAAATGCTTCAAAGCAGTTGGTCATTTTTCTTTATCTTGGTCTGCATACCTGTGAATTTCATATTCTTTCCATGGTTATTTTTAAGAGGCTCAAATCTGAATGTAATCTGTGACAGCTTTAGAGTTTTCTCAAATATTATCAAAATCAACTTCCAGGTTGCAAATATTAGGTCCCATTAAGATAAAACTGGGGCTTCCCAGGTGGTGCAGTGATAAAGAATCTGCCTGCCAATGCAGGAGACACATGAGATGAAGGTTCGATAGCTGGGTCGGGAAGATCCCCTGGCCAAGAAAGTGGCAACCCACTTCAGTATTCTTGCCTAGGAAATTCCATGGACAGAAGAGCCTGCTGGGCTATAGTCTATGGGGTCGCGAAAGAGTCAGACATGACTGGGTACACAGCATACACACAAGATCAAAAGTAGGTATAACCACAGAAACGGAACAAAACAGATGACTGCTCTTCACTTCGTCTGGACTAGAGTTGTTGGTAAGATGTATGCCCACCTTAGCTATTACTTCCATATGTTGCTATTTGTATCTTGGATTTTATTGACCTGCAAGCCAGCACACCATGAATGCCATGTTGAACTGTCCTGCATTTGAAGATGCACTATCCTCTGGTTCTGCACATACCATGCAGACACTGTATCTCCAGGGGCAATTTCTCTGTCTGGTCATCCCAGCAGCTTGGTGCTGTTTCCCCTTTTCTGTCATAGCTTAAGAACCAGCCTTGGGACCAGATGATTAGATAATGGCACCAAATATCCCTTTACAAAATTGGTTTCACTACAGATCAGGACAGGTGTGGCAAGGTACTGGAATCAAATTTGATTTTCATGGGCAATCATGTCTACTTTCCCCATGGATGCTGACTTGAAAAATAACTCTTTAATAGTAATTTGTGTTTATTACAGAGGTGGCTGCAATTTTAACTACAAATACTCATCAAAGCTTACTCCATGCAGGTGGTGTTCTAAGTGCTTTATGTATGTGTATTAACTCAGTCACTCCATAAAAACCCCACGAGGCGGGTAACACAGTGACCCAAACGAAGGATGGAGGCAGACAGCTCAGGGTCAGGACCAGACTATGAACCCAGATGGTCAGACTTGGTACCCAGGCCTCCAGCCCCACCTTCCCCCGCTCCCTGGGCCCCTGGATGGACCAGCATGAAGAAGGTAAGGGACTTCCTCTGCCATGAAACAACCAGAAAACTCCTCAGCAAAGCAGTGTTTCCTCTGCACCAGCTGCCTGCACGAGGCTATACAGGTTAGTGAAATGAAATGAGTCAAGAGGTATCCTCTCCCACTCGCCCGACAAGACTGTGATGCAGTTTGGTGGGTGATGACACACAGCCCATGGCTGAGTGTGGCGTGTATTTTACGTACTCTCTGTGCCAGTCGTAAATCTGATGGATGTTGCCAAACACAATCTTGTCTTTGCCTTTCATGTCGTCAGGAACACCATCTTCTTTCATAAGTGCCATGTAGCCCTGAAAGTAAATATGTAAAGATAAGATTATCTCACTGAACATGTTTGAATCAAGCAGTGGTTTATTGACTGAGAGTCACAGAGGACAAAACAGACATACGCACTGCCTTGTAAACCAACTGTTTATTTAAGAACAAAAACCTTTTGAGAAATATGTCCTTAACTGGCCCGTGAAAATATAGTCACATTCACTGCCATGACTTTCTCTCCCTGAACTGTTTAGCATTCAAAGATCAAAACTCTTCTGAGGAACTGGAAAGTTTAAATAAATGTAAATGATTTCATAAAACAAATCATCTTGTCAGCTTGTAAATATTAACTATTTGGCATGAAGCGTTATTTCCTCTGTTCTCAATACTGATCTGATCTGATATAAACAGACTTTCTTTTCTTTTTGGATTATCTACATAATTTGTTAAATAAGGATTTAATAATATACTTTCCACAAATTGATTTCTAACACCAGCTGGTTAACTATGTTGCTAAAATGTGGTTTAAAACTTCTATATAACTCAGATGTGATTCAGCCCATACAAGAAGCTCTGAAGTTATTCTTGATATGTCATGCATGTTTAATCTTTTATGTTATGCAATTAACTGTAATAGCTATTACTTTTCATGGAATGTCCATCCAAAAAGTACTGCCTTATACATATTTGCAAAGCTGAAAGAATAAATAATAAAGTTTCATTTTACAAAAATAGCTTTCTCATGAATTGAGTTTACTAACATGATGATGCCCTGAAGTTAATGTAGGGACAAGGCCAGAGATGACCCTTGATTTTGGATGAAAGGCAGCGGCTTAGCTATGGTTACAAATTGCAGAGTAACTTCTGGTCAGTGAAACTAGTGACATATTCGTTCTGTGAAAACTACAAGCAAATGGCCTGGGGTGGCAGCCCCTGACCAAGCTCCAAACCCAGGGGGGATTCAGGATGTAACTGAATCCAGAGCTGGTCACATTGACTTTTCAACCAAAGATGTCCTCATTTCCGTGGTGATGCCCACATTCTTATAAAATAATCAAAGGCCAGATTTCCATACCAGAAATTCACTGTTTGGAGATAACATTTACAAACTATATATATATACACATACATATATATGTTATATATATATATAAAAGAAGACTCCTGTCAAGATGCACTGTTCAAAAAAGAAGTCTTTAAAAAGTTATTAAGATATTTGGCTAAATTTTATTTTTCAGAAATATTTTGTTGGTTGTTTTATTGTTTTTAGTAAAAAATATTTTCCAAGGCTTTTGAGAAGCTATCAGCATTCAACTGTCCAGATGAACACCCTTCTCACAAGCCTCAGAGCTAGCTGATACAGGTTATTAATCTCTGAAAGCACACACCTCCACCACACAGCCGAGGTCCCGCACATAGTCACGCTCTGTCTCCACTAATTCCTGTAAAACGTAGCTGAAAAAAGGGAGGGGAAAAACAGTGTTTACAATCCACAATCTAAGGAATTGTCCGACGAAACTCTTTCATACCCTTTCTTTCATCAGGTCAGATTCCGCAGGGGCTGTGAAGTCATCTGACAAACTTGCACTTCGGGTCCCCAACCACTCACAGGTTCACGTGGGTGACCCACAGAACTGCGGAGGTCACAAAAGACCTCACGTCCGGGGTGCATTCCTGTCACCAGACTCTGACCGTGTGGACGATGACTAAGAGAAGCTAAGATGTAACTCTGCTATAAAGCCAAGACATTAAAGGAAGCCGGTCTTCTGCTTCTTTGTGTTTTAACGCTTGAGTCATTTTAAGCTTTTCTGGATATACAAAAGAAATTTAACTCAGATGTTTAAAGCCTTGGGTCAGAACACATCACTCAGAAACGTTCCTTTCAGTAAGGATCAGTAACCACTGATCCTTAAGGCCATTCAGATGATAGAGGACAGTCACTTGATTAGTTACAGCAAACCACCTCAATTGACCTGGAAAAGTTAATTGGCTGATTGGTTGGTTGTTCATTTAACCAGCACCTCTCATGCACCTGAAGTCACTCTAGATGCTGGGATACAGCATCAAACCAAGTCTCTGTGCTCATGTGGCTGGTAAATTTTTTCCTCTTTTCCAAGTATAATTTTAAACCCTTTGTAATATTTTTCAGGACTTTTTAACTGAAACTAAAAAATTCTACCATGAAGGTATGTTTCACGTTCCTGGGACTGCATTTAATTCTATGTTGCCTTTTTTCTTTACTACTGTGTATATAACGAGGCTTTCTAGGTGGCGCAGTCATAACAAATCTGCCTGCCAATGTAGGAGACACAAGAGAAGTGGGTTCGATCCCTGGGTCAGGAAGATCCCCCGGAGGAGGAAATGGCAATCCACTTCAGGATTCTTGCCTGGGAAATCCCATGGACAGAGGAGCCTGGTGGGCTACCCTCTGTGATGTCGCAGTCAGCCACAACCGAGCGACAGAGCACACACGCCTGAATGTGATGGAAAGTACAGCAGCTTCTCACCGGAAGTGACAGGAGAGATTCTCCTATCACTCGCTTCCAAATAAAGTGCAATGCAGAAATAAACGAATGCTGCGGCTATGCCTCCCTGCAGCCTCCTGAGGCTCTGAAGACTTTGCAAACACACGTACACATGGCGCAGGCAGTAAAGAACCCGCCTGCCAAACGCAGAAGACTCGCAAGAGGCTCAGGTTCAATCCCTGGTCGGGAAGATCCCCGGAGGAGGGCATGACAACCCGCTCCAGCATCCTTGCCTGGAGAATCCCATGGACAGAGGAGCCTGGTGGGCTACAGTCCATGGGGTCGCAGAGTCGGACACGACTGAAGCGACTTAGCACAGCACGCTCGTGTAACTGCTCAGTGAAGAGACCCTGGGTCTCCTCCTGTGACTCAGAGAGGAAGCCGGGCCACAGCTCTGAAGATGGTTGGGCCAGCAGGGGAGCCCCCGAGCGCTGACAACTAGAACACTGGGTCTTACTGTCGTCTCTTTAAAGAGCTGGACTTCCTCTCTTCCATCTCATCGATGGGCGAGGAGGAGGACAGCAGGGAGTTGTCTGAAGGGTTGAAGGAGGGGCTGCTGCTGTCCCCCTGGTCGACGAGGAGTGAGCTGGGACGATCCTCCAGAGCCTGGAAGAAATCAAAGCCACAGTCACGCCTCCCGCCTACAGTCCATGAGGCTGAAATTAGGACCAGGAGGTCTCCTACGTCAGACTACACAGCAGGCCTGGCCTGTGACACTGCAGAACCTATGGGTGTGAAATCACAAGAGTATTTAACAACAAAAGCCCCAGGATTCATCTAAAGACTAAGAGGGAAGTCAGAATGCAAAGTGCAGTGAATTTATGTCCATTAATATATTCTATTCATGGTTACCAAATAATTAGAAACAAAACATTTGGTTCACATCACACACTGCAGCCATTTCAAATCTGGCCATTTTCTGTTCAGTTACATTCCTGCCACATGAAAGCACCACCATTTCAGAAGCGTGTGCAGTCAACTCCGATCGGGCTAGCATACCCCGACACACTGCCCACTCCTTGTTGGTGACTACGCGGCAGCAGCAGCAAACCTTTTAATTTAAAGAAACGATTTGTTTCTCGACTATCCGTGAAGCCTTGACTCATACTTCAATGCATGTAACTCCTGCAGCTAAAATTAATCTCCATTTCTGTGACCCTCACAACTTCTTCCTTCTATAGGAAGTGGTTGCCATGTTGGCCTCAATTACTTGTTCACAACTCTCTCCCTCACTGAATTTCAGTCCCTGCAGGTGAGTGTTTTCATTGTTAGATCCACTTGAGAACCTCAAATAAATCCGTGAGATGACTACTGATGACTTTTTCCCCTGGGTTAGTGTGGCCAGGATCAGCAACTGATTCTTTTCTTATTGGTATGTATTAATTTTCTTTCCTAATCAGAATTCACAAAGTTTCTAGGGGTACAGGTGACAGTTCTTTTTTTTTAATTGAAATATACATGATTTATTATGTTGTGTTAGTTTCAGGTATCCAGCAAAGTAATTCAGTTATATATATATATATATATATATATACACAAAAGAATCTGAAAAAGGATATATGCATAGGTTATTACAAGATACTGAATATAGCTTCCTGTGCTATACAATAGGTCCTCGTTGTTTATCTATTCTATATACAGTGGTGTGTATCTGTTAATCCCAAACTCCTAATTTATCACTCTCTCACCTTCCCTCTTTGGTAATCATAAATTTGTTTTCCATGCCTGTGAGTCTCTTTGTTTTGTAAATAAGTTCATTTGTATCATTTTTATCAGGTTCCATACATAAGTGCTATCACGTGACATTGGTTTCTCTGAACTCACTTTACTCTGAACGACAATCTCTAGGCCCCTCATGTTGCTGCAAACAGCATTATTTCATTCTTTTTCAATGGCTGAGGAACAGTCCATTGTGTGTGTGTGGGTATACATACCCATCTGTCAGGGGACAGGCGGGTCGCTTCTATGTCTTGGCTATTGTAAACAGTGCTGCCACCAACATTAGAGTGCATGGATCTTTTCAAATTAAGAGCTTTCATCTTTTCTGGATACATGCCCAGGAGCTGGTTCATATAGTAGCTCTATTTTTAGTTTTTAAAAAACCTCCATACTGTTCTCCATGCTGGCTGTACCAAATTACACTCCCACCAATAGTGTAAGAAGGTTCCCTTTTCTCCACACCCTCTCCAGCGTTCAGCATTTGTTGACTTTTCAATGATGGTCGTTCTGAATGGTGAGGTGACACCTCAGTGTAGTTTAGTTTTGATTTTCACTTGTCTGATGATTAGCGATGCTGAGCATCTTTTCATGTGCCCGCGGCCCATCTGTATGTCTTCTTTGGAGAAATGACTGTCTAGGTCTTCTACTCATTTTTCGATTGGGTTGTTTATTTTTTTGATATTGAGCTGAATGAGCTGTTTGTATATTTTGGAGATTAATCCCTTGTCAGTTCACATCATCTGCCAATAGATGACAGTTCTTCTGAAACTCTCACAGCGACACAGCTGGACATATAGGTGATCAAGAGGTGTTTAAGCAATGTAACTGGGGAAAATGTGATTTATTTCTCTTCAAACAAAAAGCCCGGTACAAACTACAAGAACACTTAATATCTCCTACCAAACTAAAACTTCTAATACTCATCCTGCTTCCCCATAAGAGTGACAGGCTGAAGCTGGTGTCCTCACTAAGCCTAGCTTTGAGGACACCAAGTCTGTTCCTGCAGTCTTGTTCATCAAACCCACGGAGCTGTGCAAACACACTGACTCCTGCTCTCAGTGAATGAAGAGACAGTTCAGGAATGGGGCTCGGTGAGCACACAGCATTCTTAAGTAAACAGCTCTTGACCTCGACTGGAAGCACACGTGTGGCAGCAGGGCCTGGTCCATGTGTGCGGGTCCTGGAGGCCGGTCTTGGCCAGGAGGTTGGAGGATGCCGGGAGGGAGGAGCAGTGCTGTCTGCTGCCCGGATTGTGAGGACACAGCTGAAGCTCGTTAGATTTAATGACGGTCACTTCAAGGGTGAGGAGAGACAGGAAAGAAAGGTGGCAGAGGGCCCTCCACACAGAAGACGGCTGGGGAGGCACTGGACTTCATGGATGCCCGTGAGACCCCTCTGGACCCGGCAGCCACATGGAGCGTGCAGATGCCCCAGAGGTCACGCTCACATCTGTGACGTCCACCCCCAGCCGCCCAGTGGCCCCTTCTGGCAACTGTGCTCGAGTAAAACGGCATGAGCGCTGTCCCAGAACGGAAATCTGTTTTGGACGAATTATTTGTGAAGGTCTCTGGGTCTGGTGGGTTTTTGTGGGTAGGTTCTTATCAACTTTCCCTATTCCTTAAATGAAAGGGGAATACCCATGTAGACCTAACTCTTCAGAAGGCTTCCCGGGTGCCTCAGCGGTAAATAACCTGCCCACCTATGCAGGAAATGCAAGAGACACAGATTCGATCCCTGGGTTGGGGAGACCCCCCTGGGGAGGAAATGGCAACCCTCTCCAGTATTCCTGCCTGGAGAATCCCATGGACAGAGGGGCCTGGCGGTCCATGAGGTCACAGAGTCGGACATGACTGAGCCCAAGCACCCATGACCCCTCTGAGGTTAACACTGGTAAACTGTATTTTCTTAAGAAACTGCCCATTTCATCCCGGGTTTTCAAATTACTTTCAAAGAGGTGAACAAGGTAATGCGTCATGATTATTTCTATTCTCATTGATCTTTTCTTTATAGATTCTTATGTTGTGAATCTGGGTTTTTTTTGTGTTTTTTTGCAAAGGTTACCTGAATTCTGTATGCTTTGAAAAAACAAATCTTTGGTGTTATTATTATTCCCTTTTTCTGTTTTCCAGCTCATTAATTTCTGCTTTTACCTCTGTGAATTCAGTCTTTCTGCTTTTTTCCAAAAACAAATTGTACTGTTCTATTCTCTTGAGTTAGATGTTTGTTTCACTTATTCTCATTCTTTCTTGGGTTTCTCTTTATATTCAGATCAACGGAGAGAAAAAAGCCCCAAAGTCAGCTGCAGTCCCTGGGGCTGTTGGCTGCTGTCGCCCCCCGCCCACGCTTCCCTCATCAGGAAGGTGGAGGTGGAGAGAGAAGTGAATTTCAGGGAAGGGCTTGCAGGGCGAGGAGAGTCAGCTCCTTGAACACAGATGGCACGACGGCAGGACACCTTCTCCCATCACCTCTCGAGTCCACTGTACACACGGCTTTGGAGGGCTAACAATTCAGTGTTTCAATCTGATTACAAAGTCACGACAGCCTAAGAGATCGCCCACAGGAAAACAAATGGGGGTGACATGGCAGCCATGAGCCATGGCACACGTGAGCCGTGCAGGAGTAACTCAGAGTCATGGGGAGCAGGCGGCGGCAGGGAAGGATGTTCAGATGATTCACTAGCAGTTTTATCGGCAAAAGCAGTTCTCGTTTGAGGATTAGTCACAGGAAACCAAGCAGAACTATGTTTCCCTTGAGCCAGAAAAAGAGGGCGCAGTCTAGATTATATTCCATGGACAATGCAAGAGCAGCTAGTCCACCATAAAAAGCACAAATGTGGTTCTCCAATGGGGACAGAGGTACAAGTGGAGTGCTCAGGTGCAGGGAGCTCGGCTGGAGCTTATCAAACAGCGCTGGGTTTATAAACCCCACCTTCCAGCTGGGAGGCCGAAGCAGACAGTAGGAGAATCTGAACCTACATCTCTGATTCCAAACCCACGCCTTTTCCACCCTGCCAGCAGCTTTATGCCCATTCACTTCAGGAGAGTCGTGAGTAGAAATAATTCAATTTCAATGGATAGAGTTCAATTCTTCAAAGCTAAAAAGGGGAAATAAACCACTGAGAGCTGAGAGACACGCATAGAACTTCTCTTCATCTGAATTTATGACACGTCAATCTCAACCCACTCACAATGGAATCCCTTCAAACAGTTGCAGAACAATGACTAGCAGGTTGACAGAGTGCTGTCTCATAACATTCCTTGGGAGAACAATCTCAATCATTAGATAAGCATGACTTTAATGATCCTATAACTGATGTGTATAAATGGCTGTCTCGCAAACTCAATTCAGTATTATTTGAGCATCATTTTAGACTATCAATCAACTTCTTTCTCAAAGAGGCAGGTGGGATGTGGCTAAGCTCCATTCATACTGACATGATCCCAAATTTCTGACCAAGTGGAGTTAAATTCTTGACTTATCTACCAAGTCCTTGCAGCCTTTCTGTCTAAACTCAAAGCCCACCACCACCCAGGCAGGGGTAGGGGCCAATACCTGTCAGTCTGGATTCTGGATGTAATTCCCACTTGACCAAAGCAACCAGCCTCAGCACCAGCTGCTTAGGGGTGGGTGGGAGAAGAAACTGGAGTGTTACACATATATATACACACAGTACTTAGTTAGTACTAGCTTTGGAAGATAAATTTCTAACTTTAAAGAAGTACAGTTAGCCCGTGAACAACGCAGGGGCTGGGATACCAGCCCTCTGTACATGGTCCCTCAATTTGTGGTTCCACGTGTGCAGATTAACCCACTGCACACTATGCTGTTCTCTAGTATTCACTGTTGAAGAAAATCTGTAAGTGGATCTGTGAAATCCAAACTTGGAATATTTAAGGGTCAACTGCATTTCCTTTTATCTAGCAATTCCAGTGCTAAAAATTTACCCTATATTTACATGTAATTATAATCACACATGTAATTAGCATGAATATTTATGCAGAGATAAATGCTGCAGTCCATGGGGTCGCAAAGAGTCAGACACGACTGCGTGACTGAACAATTAACAGAAATGAAAACTGTAAATGATAAATCTCTCTCTATATATGTATATAATGAATTTATTTAAATAAATTATAACAGACCTCTGTCCCTTTATCAGCTAGTTGAGTTTTTACACACTCCGTGTGCCTCAGTTTTCCCATTGGTAAAATGAGAACATGGTAGTGTGTGCCCCCCTCATAGAGCTGTCGAGGGGAGCACACACAGAGAAAGCGTTGGGAAGGAAGCGTATCAAACTGTCCTACAGTGGTTGCTGTGGGCTTTTATTTTAGGAGTGGTGACTTTTGAAAGATGTAGTAAGACAGGAGGTATACTAAGATAGGAGGTGCAGCGTGGACAGGTAAGGGGTCTGGGGGACGGGCTACTGAGCTCAAAAGCTGTTACCATTACTGGTTTCTCTATTTCATAGGAAAACTTAAGAAAAAGAAAGTTACTGATTTGAATCAGTCAGAAACAATGCATACCTAACTTCAAAGAATCAACATCTGATTTGGGGCTTTTATGAAATGAAGCCATGCTGACCCACTGGGAACATGAGGTGACTAAGAGAATAAATCCCTGACACAGCAACGCAAACCCTTCTCCCTCATACACTGCAGACCCAAGTGAATGATCTCAAGACAGCAAGAGACTCCCAGTGGTACCTGCGATACCAACGACCCACGAGAATGGAACTGACCACACTGGCTATGACGATGCCTGCACTGCAGCCCATGTGGGTGTAGGAAAGGGCTGACCGTGGCTCCTGGGAGGGTCGTCTAAGCACCTGGCATGTCCTGCCTGATGAAGTCTGTCTACCTGGGGGTTCTGGCTTCAGATAGACGGTCTATACTCACTGTTTGACTTTTGGTGGGGGCTTTGGGTCACGTGCTATCTTGATCCCCAGAGGAGCAGGGGATGGGGTGAGCCATGTGAGGGGTCAACCTTGTGTATGTGATGGAGCCCAAATAAAGACTCTGACCACCGAGGCCGGAGAGTGGGGTTGCGGGGGGTGGGTGGCGGTGTCCCTTGCTGGCGTTACCCTGCAGGTATCATCACACCGTGCGGTGCTGGGAGAGGCCAGCACTGGGCACCTGATTCCACGGAGAGAGGGCAAGGGTGGCCTGGACTGAGCTTCCGGACCCGCCCCTGCCCGTCCTCCCTGGCGAACCTTCACCTACATCCTTTCACAGTAATGAACAGCAACCGTGGCTTCACTAAGCTCTGTGAGTCTTCAAGCCAGTTACTGAACCTGAGGATCCATCCTGCAGACCAGAGACGCACCTGCGAGGCCACCCGTGCCCACCCCCGCCCCCCAGTGCTCCATGAACCGCTTCCAGCCCGGAGGCCTGAGCCTCTGGGAAACCTTACCATCTTGCTTTTCACGAGTTCCTCGATCGCACTGACAAGCTCAGCTGCACTCGGCGTTTCGGAGCTGGTGGGGCGGACTAATAACCGAGAGGAGGCCTAGAGAGGAAGTTGAGAAAAAGAGAGGGGGGAGGGGGATGCCTCGTGTTAGTCACTGGACAGATGGAAAATTCTCCTGCAAGCTCAGCCTCTTTTTAAAAGTAATTCCAGACCAAAAGACCACGAGTTTGTCTTTGTTTGCATTTATTTAAAGCCATCTTTTAAAATTTACAATATTCTGACATGAAACACTAAATAAGACCTGTCTGGGATACATGTGGAAAGCAGACAGAGTCTGGTTTTAATCTGCAGCCATGTCCCATCAGAATGTTTCTCAAAGAGGTGACTGGGCATGGGGGAGGATTCTAACTTTTTTTGCAACTGCTGGCTAGGCTACTGGCTAAGGAGGGAAAGACGGAGATCAACAGAAGAGTGACAGGCTTAAGGGCTAGTGAATGAATCCTTCAAAGAACTGGGATCCAAAAACAAGACTAAAAATGGCTTTACTGTGTGGATGGGGTTCAAAGAAAGAAGGAAGGAAAGGAAAGGAGCCGGGAGCACTGACCAGACAGGGAGGAGGGGGACAAGCTCACCATTTTCTGTGCCATCCATTTCCCCAATGATTAGTGCAGAGGGCAGGAGCTCTGTGGCCTCACAAGCTATCGGATGCCATTTACGGCTAGAGTCGGGGTGTACAGCGTGGACAGGTAAGGGGTCTGGGGGAGGGGCTACTGAGCTCAAGTTTCAGTAATTAGCAAACACACTGTGTTTGCAGATTACTCGCACCGTTAATTTACTGGAAACTAGAAGAGGGGTGTAATATGAACCTTGCTTCATATTAAGGACAGCAGAGATGCATGCGACACACGGCTAGCTGTCCTAACGATGCATGGCTCACGGCAGACACATACGGATCTATACGTTTACAACGAGGCAGTTACAATGTGGGTCCAGATATGCACTCGGCAAAACAAATGTTGGCTTGGTCTAATGAAATCTGGAAGATGAGGTGAAGAAAACAAGGAAAAAAAATTCAAATGGAGAGGTAAGGAAACTGAGCCAGAACAGACACAGAACACAAGTCAACATAATGCTGCAGTGAAAGTTTACAAAAAGAGAGAACAGAACAAAACAAAATATTAGTCACAAGATAATATACTCTCTGGGAACATCACTATCGATTTTTGTAAAAGAAGAACTTCTATGGATAATACCCAATGAGGTCATACAATAACCAGTAAGTGATTTTAGCAATCAGAAGAATATAGTGCCATCCACACTTTAAATGGAGAAAAACACCCTCCTGGCATGGTGAATAGGCCAACCAGGCCTGGCACCTCATTGTTCAGCTAACCATTCAGATTTACGCAATTTTAGTCTCCTGCCTTCAGAAAGGTCTGGCTTAGAATGCTGCAAAACCACTAAGGAATGGTCAGAGCCCTGCTGCCTGGAGGTGGGCCTGTTCTGGGTAGTGAGGGGTGAGCTTCTCTCATTTCAGGCCACCCTGCCCCACTGCAGCATGGGGTCTGCGCCTCCGATGACCCCCAGACTCCGGACTGAAACCCAAGCTACCTTCCTCTGCCAAGACCCACTGTGCGCTGAGAGCCCTGGCGGAGGTGGCGGCAGGGTTCTAAGGAGGAGGTGCCTGAGGTTAAGACTCAGGGCCATCAATCACTGGGCTGGACGGAGCCTGGGCCAGCACCCATGGGCCATCCAGCGAGTGGGGACCGTGTCAGCACGGAGGAGGGAGTCAGGGAAGGAAAAAAGTGAAGACGGGGAAAAACTGATGAAAACATCTGTTTTATTCAGAAAACTCGGTCTCTGCCAAAAAAAAAAAAATCACCAGTAATGACTTCATAGCGTGGTTTTCAACACCTGCCAGTTTGGAAAAGCAGGCTGGGCTGGAACGCGAGAGGTTGTACAAGCCAGTTATCAGGTTTCCTTCTTGGTATTTTAGGGTTCTACCGCTGGGAGGCACAAAATAATTTTAGATTCTGTAAAAACTCAGGAAAACCCAGAAAGCAAAAAATGAAGGTTTACTTGGCCCGAAGCCTCCGCATACACACAGAGAGGAGACTCGTGGCTTTGAACTGACTCCTGAGCTTTGACAAACTCCGGTTTGATCCAGATGTTGGCCATGTTGGAAAAAAGGAACAGGAGAGCCATACAGTCTCATCTGAAAACCACACCTGCGTGCAGAGACGCCTGACATAGAGAACCAGGTGGGCTTGTGTGTGTCTGGGACGTAATCACGCACGCAGGCGGGACAGTGATTTCTCTGTCCACTCAGGGACCCTGGTCAGGACAGTGAGAAAAATTAAAAAGACTTGAAAGGCAGCGATTAGGAAAGCGTCTATTAAAAATGCACTGAAGGTCCTTCTGCAAGCACACGTGTAGGGGAGACTGCGCGTGTTCCTACAGCCTAGTCTAAACGCACGGCCTATGTTATCTAGGCTCTGCGGGTGAAGCAGGGCAGAATTCGGCCTGGAAAACCAGCCCATGTTGCAGACACCTTTTCGCAGCCCGGGTCACTCCCTGTGTCCGGCCCTGAGGCTGGGGCACAGGAGTGAACCGCTGGGCCCTCTCCTGGCTCGGGGCGGCCACGGCCCCCTTACCTTGTCGTCCTGGGAGTCCGGCTGGAGCAGGCTGTGCTGCTGGATGGCCATGGGGGGCGGCAGGGGCACGGCGTCAGCCCCCTCCTCCCCTTCTTCCTCTCCGCAGCTCTGCATGCCCGAGGACGAGGACTTGGAGAGCGTGCCGCTGCTCAGGCCCTCGTTCCGGCCTCTCTGAAACCAGAGTGACATTCGCCCGTGAGAGCCTGGCCCTGAGAGTCAGCGTCCGGGCGCAGAAACTGAGCCCTCGGGGGTTCACAGGAGGTGGAAACTGAGAGCAGAAACCAGGCACAAGCCCCTTCCAGCCCTGATGGGAACTCGGACTCCTCCAAGCGTGTCAGCTCCCTCGCCTGCCGGCTGGACAAGGACAGGGCCCGGGAGTGCCTGTGAAGGGACTGTCGACGTCAACTGTTAGGCTCTGAACACGTCTTATCTTCAAGAGGCTAATTTTTAAAAAAGGTTAAAAAATGTGAACCATCACCTTCCATTTCTCTGGTCTCATATTTTACTTTTTTGCTACTTTTTGCTCAAATAAAACTCACTGAAATCATGAGAGCATAAAGAAAAATAAAATTCAAGGTGTATTTTAAGAATGAAGTAGTTCATTCATTTTTCCCTAGTCTTACTTTTACTAAAAAAAAAAAACTTCAGTTTTTTACTTCTATTAGGAGGACCCAGTATATTAAACAGATAGATGAGGACATAAATGAATCATATGCTACACTGAAAACCCACAGCATAAACAGACCCAGGAAAAAAGCAGCAGAAACCACACATCTGCAAAATAAATTAAACAATACCAATCTTGTCCTCCTCCCCCATTCGCTCTGCCTTTGTCTTTCTGAGTCCGTGGGGAACCGGGGGATGTGGGTCCTCATTAAAAACTCTGAGGGCCCCTCACTAACACCACATTACTGAAGACCCATCTTGGGGATCATGAAAAAATACCATTCCTTACAATGTAATTTTAAGGTCCCTCACCTCCAAAGGAAATGAAAAATAATTCCTGGCTGGCCTGCATACATTTATCTTTGATGACATGGGAATAACGCAGTGTTTACTGCTGGCTTAACAAAGTAATTGGATGTTTTCTACTCGGGACAAGAGGTCAGTATGAATATACATGAATATGGGGGCAGGTCTGGTAGTGGAAACACTGGAGGATGCAGGCATTCCCCAGTCCTTCCTAGCATAAGATTGGTGCTTTCCCTGCGTGGCTGTGGAGGAGGAAGTGGCAACCCATTGCAGTATTCTGGCCTGCAGAATTCCATGGGCAGAGGGGCCTGGAGGGCTACAGTCCATGGGGTTGCAAAGAGTTGGACACGACTGAGCGACTGCCCCTCATTCACTATATGGCTGAGTGCTAACCCACAGGCTGCTTAGATCGCCTGCATCCCTGGGGTGGAGGGGTACCCCTGGCTTTGCCTGTGATGGAGGCTGGGGGCGGGGCTGGGGCGGCAGGGCACCACTTCCTCCTGGAGCAGGCAGGGGCTGCCCCCACGCCTGGGGAGGGGGGGCTCTCGGTCCTCTGATCTCTTGATCAGAGGCCACACGTGGATCCCCAACTCCAGCACGCTGCTTAATGCATTTTGCAGGGGCTCTGACACTGGTCCTTTCCGGGAACACCCAGAAAACAACCGGACGAGGGTTATTTGCTCGTCTGGACTCGCAAGGACTCGCAAGGGAGCCGCCGCAGGCCCTGACCTCCTCCACGGTCTCGTCCTGCGGGGTGGCCGCGCTGTCGTCCGAGTCCTTCTGCGAGCCGGCGTCGGCGCTCTTGCGCACCTCGCGGCTTTTCTTGTGCTTGTGCGCCAGCTTCTTCACGTGCCCGTCCGCCTTGCCGCTGCTCAGCCGCCGCACCGGGCTCGTCAGCCACTTGCGCAGCGTGTTGCCCGGGCGCTTGGGGCCCGGCGAGCTCTGCGCCCCCACCATGTGCGGCTGGAGGGAGGCCACGGAGGCGGGCGGGCTGGCGTCGTTGCTGGAGACGGACAGCGAGTCTGCGGGAGAGAGAGAAGCCCGTGTGAGTGGAAGCCGCCTGCAGTGTGGGAGATCTGGGTTCCATCCCGGGTCGGGTAGATCCCCTGGAGCTGGGAACCGGCTACCCACTCCAGTATTCTCGGGCTTCCCTGGTGGCTAGGTGGTAAAGAGTCCACCTACAATGCGGGAGACCTGGGTTTGAAATCGCTGGGTTGGGAAGATCCCCCGAAGAAGGGAAAGGCTGCCCACTCCAGTATTCAGGCCTGGAGGATTCCATGGATTGCACAGTTCATGAGGTGGCAGACAGTCTAACATGACTGAGTGACTTTCACTTTTCACTTTCAAAGCCACTGCCATGGGCACCGCCCAGCCAAACGTCGAGTTCAGTGGCTGCCAGGAGCCGTGCCCTCTGGTTCTGCCCTGGGGATGAGGGTGTCAGAGGAGATCCAACCCGCGGGCTTATTCATCAAACGGTTCCCGAACTTGAATTTTGTCAGAGATCATTTTTCTCCAGGTGTACTGCCTCCCTCTCCCCAAACAAGCCGAGTCACCCAGGCTGAAGACCAGCATCAGCGCTGCAGAGACTCATGAGGTCACCGTCACTTAAAACATCAGACATCGGAGCACAGTGTTTGAATTATTTCCACCCATTTTCTTGATAGACAAGAACCAAGAAACAATGGCTTAAAGAAGAATTTAAAGGAAATTAAAAACTAATCCTGGTGGACAAATATATTAGTGTGACTCACTCCCACTGAATAAAAGCACCACTCAACAAATAAAGTGGAGGCACACCTCAGGGGTGTTATGGGTTTGGTTTCAGAGCACTGCCATAAAGTAAATATTACAGTAAAGTGAGTCACATGAATTTTTGGTTCCCCCCAAATTGGACTGTTTAGGTATCCAATAGTGAGTGAGTGAAGCCGCTCAGTCGTGTCCGACTCTTTGCCACCCCATGGACTGTAGCCTACCAGGCTCCTCCCTCCATGGGATTCTCCAGGCAAGAGTACTGGAGTGGGTTGCCATTTTCTTCTCCAGGGGATCTTCCCAACTCAGGGATCAAATTGGGGTCTCCCGCATTCCAGGCAGATGCTTTAACCTCTGAGCCACCAGGGACGCCCAGTGTCCAACAGCACTGTCTAAAAACTGCATATAGTTTAACTAAAAAATACTTTACAGCTAAAAAAAATGCTAACCATCATCTGAATCTTCAAGTTAGTCATAATCTTTTTGCTGGCGGAGGGTTTGAAAATTGCAAGAATCAACAAAATGTGACACACAGACATGAAGTGAGCAAATGCCGGTGGAAGAATGGCTCCAACAGACGCGCCCAATACAGTTGCCACAAACCTTCAATTAGTTTAAAAAGCAGGTTCTGTGAAGCAAAAAAAACACCTGCAATAAAATGCAATATGCTTAAATATATTAATATGTATATGCGTGCGTGTGTATGACTCAGCATGCATGTGACCTGGTAAGTCAGCACTGTGACAAACGGCACCCTTCTAGAAAGCTCGGTGTGAAAGGGTAAAAGCTGGCTGGTTCCCCTTGTTTCCAGCCGTGAAATACGAATGTGTAGCCCCTGCTCTCAGTCTCACACAGTTCCTTTGAGGTGCTGGAGTTGATACCAACAACCACGAACAAAAAACCAACACATTTAAAAAAGAAATAATTTCAAATAACCAAGATGTTACTTGAAAATATACCCCCAATGAACATTCTCATGGGATTTGAAAATTAAATACAGCCAACCCTGAACTGATCGCTTTTGCGGTTGAACAGACTTAGGTAACAGCTGACACTCAATAGCTCTGTGGAGTGACAGGAGATGTGACTTCACACACAGAAAGCCAGTGACCTGGGACACCTGTCGGCCCAGTCCTGAGCCCTGGACTCTGGGAGGACACCCCCACTGTGAAACGGAGTAAAACGCCTCTCTTTAGGGACCAGAATGAGGAAGATCCTTTACTCTGCTTGTCATTTTCTTCCAGTCTTTCGAAGTCTTAAAAACAGTCTTTAAAAAGATGATTTGATACAGACACGTGCTTGAGGGGCATTTACCTCTGCGGCCCTGGAGACCCCCATGTGCCACAGCTGAAGAAGGGGGTTATTCCTCCCAATCCTGTGATTATATGTGCTAGAGTCGACAGCAGTTTCCCACTCGCCTGGGTGAGACAGTGGAGCACCACCGTCTGCCTCTGCCCTGTCCCTTCTTGGTCGAGCCTTGCAGGCGGAGAGGGTATAATCTTTTGTAAACAGATGACGCGCTTCAAGCAGGATTGCTCATTCTTAAAAATCTACATTTTCTCAGAGGCAGACTTCAGCTCAGAACTAATCAATATAGCGTTCTGTTTAAGAGAAAACCCTCTCTCCCTCCGTGTGTGAGGATGTGTGTCTGAACCCACTTGCCAATGCAGGACACTCGGGTTCGATGTTTTTATTTTTTTTGACGTTAAGTGTGACTGAAACGTTCCCACGTCAGCCTCGTGCTCCTCAGGCGCCACAGGGATGAGGCAGGAGAACCAGGCCATCAAGTTGACCCCGCGCCTGCAGTCAGTTTCCTGGGGACTTTCTCAGGGGCTGACTCAGGACAGAGGGTCCCTGATCTTGGGGTCTCCTGTACCGTGACAACAGGGTTTGGACGATCCACGTGTCAGGTGATACTTTATTCAGCTGAAGTGTTTCTAAGTACTATCACACTAACAAGATGCTGGGCTGGCCCCGGTAGGTGACAAACATATTCCACCATCATTGATGGCTGGGACTCAGAGCCAAGCCTGGTATTGCCACTGGATGGAGATGAATAAACCCACTAGGATTTATTCAATAAACTTCACCCCGGGGACCCGACTGCAGTGCTTTCAATGATCACACAACCATCATTCACGCAAAACTGTGACCCTTCATGCTATAAGCGAGTACAAACCCTGGAAGAATTTGAGAAGAAGGGGAATCAAGTGGAGGGGTCACGGAAGCCTTCCTGGAGGAGGTGGCATTGAAGCTGGCCTTTGGAGCTGGGCCTGAATAACGCATTATGAGCTCACAAGGACAGAAGCTCCCAGAGGTCGGGGGCCTCATCTGACTTTTCCCCTGAGGTGTGCCCAGGGCCTGGCACAGTGCTGGCTGTATAGGAGGCACCTAGTATGGACCGGAAACAGCAGAAATTCCAGTCTAAAGGAACAGGGATGCTGATTCACAGCCTTATGTTCGCTCAGCTGAGTAACTGCACCAGACAGAGAGCCGTGAAGGTGGAAGTGGCAGGGCATCCCCAACATGTGATGAGCATCCTGATGGAGCTCCGTTGTGCCCCAGGAGCCGAGGGAGGCAGGAAAAAACAGAGGCTGCCTCACCAGATGAAACCAAATCAACTGCAGGTCTTAACATTCATCAGCAGAACACTTACACCTTAGAAGTGATGGGAGAGCATATATATAGAGAGAGGGATATATATATACACACATATATATATTCCTCTCTCTATATATATATGTCCCTCTCTCTATATAGGTATATCCCTCTCTCTATATATATCCCCCCCCATATATATAGAGGGAGATATATATATATCTCGCCTACCAGGCTCCTCTGTCCATTGGATTCTCCAGGCAAGAATACTGGAGTGGGTTGCCATTTCATTCTCCAGGAGACCTTCCTGACCCAGGGATCAAACCTATATCTCCCACATTGCAGGCAGACACTTTACGGCCTGAGCCACCAGGTGATAAAGTTCATACATGTATCTGAATCACTCGAAACTAACACAACATTGTAAATCACCTATGCATCAATTAAAAAATAAATATCAAAAAGAAAATAAACAGAAATGCTGGGGACACTGCCTAAGTCAACAAACGCAACTTCCCTGTGTTTCTGTGCCTAACAGACAGCACGTGGGGGTATGTGGCATGGGAGCAACGCAGCACGTATGAATTTTTATGCAGGTGCTACTGGCTATAAACATGGTTTAAAAAGAAACACAATTAGAGATGTCATTTCTGAGCTTCTCTGTGTAGGCTCAGCTGCATAGGATAGTTCGCTGCACTTTGAGCAGTAGTTTCAAAACAGATTTTTTTCCTCAGTTGGCAGGTCAAGCGCTACAAACGTGGCAGAGACCTAAGTGGTCCGACTTAGACTCAAGAGAAGGCAGAGCTGTCCAAGATCAGAGCTCACCAACGCCGCAGACGAACTGCATTCCCAGGGAACAGAGGTGCTTTTCTTGAGATGCTATTTGTTGTCACTTAATGACATTATTTCACTTAACTGGAATATTTATGACTCAGAAATATGCTAGCAGAGGGAAATTTTTCTGTTTTTAAATTTTTATCTTCGAAAACGATTTCGTTTCAGAAGCCTGAAAATGTGGAGGGAAAGTTTCTTTACCTGTCTCTAAGATTAGCAGGTATATCTTCTTGTGTAGGTCTGGTTCATTAGTCACAATTCAGAGGATTAGCAATGAAAAAAAATAACCCCAAACTAAAACAAACAGATAAATTCCTTCACTCTCCAATTTGTTTTTAACAATAATATTCAATTCTTTATACTGCTGGACACACAAATCCATTGATTTGGGCAAAACCCAGCCTCTAAGTTGAAAAGAAAAAAACCAGTAAATCTTATTTTTTTTTGTTTTCAACTAGAGACTCATTTTGCTCGTATCAATGGATTTTAACAGTCCATTTACGAGCTTTTTACCAGACTATGACATAATGCATAAATCAAGAATTTGAAAATACTCAAAAATTACTTAAGTCAATCATTAGCAGAAGGAAATAAAAGTGAATATCGACCAGTTATGTCCGACTCTTTGCGACCCCAAGGACTATACAGTCCATGGAATTCTCCAGGCCAGAATACTGGAGTGGGTAGCCTTCTCGAGGGGATCTTCCCAACCCAGGGATCGAACCCAGGTCTCCTGCACTGCAAGCGGCTTCTTTACCAGCCGAGCCAGCAGGGAAGGAGGAAATAAAGGGCCTATTATTTTTCGTTATCTGAAGGACAGACTGACCACTAGACCAACTGC